ATCTACTTTGACATTATGATATTGCTTAAAAATTTTTGTTTCAATAAAATTCAAGTTAAAGTGACCGACTTAAAATTGTGACCAAAAATACATAAACTTACCCTATATTTTAATGATTACGTAATAATTAAAACTATTTTAAAATATAGCAAACACTAAAAAGTTTTCAGTTGTATAAATATTAAAAAAAAGAATGGGTTCAAGCAATTTTAAGATCTTTTTCGATAATTTATTAAAAAGAATACCTATATATTATGGGCCTTAAAATGTTTACTTAGCAAAGTCCTTTCTTTGTATTTGATAGTGCTGTTTGATTTTATTTTTTCAAATCTGCTATACTTACTCCGACTAGGTGGTAGCACTTAAGTTCGGATATAAAAAGAACAATATGATTATTATTTTTTTAATTTTAAGAAAAAAGTAGCAATTTTTTTTTTACTTTTTTGACAAAAATTGAAAAAGTGGCCGTGAATCTCATTCAATTGCCATACAACAGTTATTTATTGTGCAATGTATTCTAAATACCTACGTTTCATTCCCTAGATGTTTTGTCATGTAATATTTTAACCATTATGGGAAATATAAAGTAAAGTAAGCAAAAAAATACAAGAGAACGTCAACCAAATAACAAAAATCAAAAATTATTAATAATATACAAAGACTTAAATTATTCTATAAAAATGTTTATAAAACTTGGAAAAAAAACTCTAATCACCATTTATTGGGTTGGTTAAAATTTTTTCTAAAAGCGTTTAAAGCAATCTGAGATTAACTAGATTCTTCTAAGGAAGCGAACTTAAATGGGTTTATGGTAGTATAAATTGAACAAAAACTGTGTTTGGTAGTACAAAAACTGAACTTTAGTCAACTAGGTCAGTAATCGGACACCTTAATAAACCTCTTGGTTTGTACCACACATTTAACTAACTTAACCATGTTACCATTGGAGATGAGAAGTGGATACTTGACGTAAACCACACCACGGAGAGCGAGAGGCTATAACCGGAACAACACCAAAACTAATTCTAAAAGTCAACTAATATCCCAAATAGATGTTGCATTTGATTTGGTTAGACCTACGCAGCATTACAGCGAGCTTCTGTGTTTAATTAAGCCTTCCTTTTTTATTGGAAAAGACTAAAAATATGGTTTTATGCTATTTCTGAAAATATCGAATAGTTTGATATTGTCAGCATATAACATAAGACAATAATCAAGATTTTAGATTATTTTTTAATTTTTTATTTATTTGAACTTCATATTATATTTTGCTATACAATGCTCTTATATCCGACGATATAGTTTGCTTAGCATAAGAACATCCAAGGTAGAGTCCGTTATAGACCAACAATTTGCATACTATATAAAAGTACTACTCAAGCGCTGAGTTGGCGGTGATTAGATTTGAACTCGTATCGCACAACAGTCCGGGTTTTAACAATTCATTTGACGCTCTAACTAACTAAGCTATCTAGTCACAAATATAGGGGGTAAATAGTTAACATATAACAAGAATAACGATGGATAAAAAAAATCTCTAATAGATGATTATGACGATGAATTTTCGACCAAAATTCGTTGATATGTTTTTGTAAAAAATACTGAGATCCAATTAAGGAGGTTGTTTTTTTAAATCACACATTGCAAGTTTTCTCATAAATTTTAGATGAAGTGGAATCGTGGTATACATTGATTTTTAAAAGTGCTTTTTAAAAATCAATGTATACCACGTCGGTAATTAAATGGTTGTCTAGAGCTTCACTCTAATTATATGTTGACTCAGGAAAACTTATGCATGTCAATCTTTCGGATAAAAAACTGTTTTGATAAGGTCTTAATATATTATTGCTATTCCGTAACAAGACAGTTGGTACATTCAAGAAAGATGGATCTATAATTATTAGCAAGCTGACAGCAAATACTATAGTATCTTTAGTACCTTCTTTCAGCTTTTTTTGGTTTTCGTATTTATTTTTCTCAGTCATGGGTAAAATTTAACCAGGGAATTATTTTATACGGGTACAAATCAATTGTACATTTCAATGCAAAAAATGTTCAAAAACAATTCAAACTTCTGGCACGGTCGTTTAGATATTAGTAAAAAGCGCTATGTTTAGGTACGCATGCGTAAGAAAATACGAAAAACTTTTGAACTTTTAAAATGGCTGCGGTTCTTAACTACAGAGAATATTTGGCAACAGATTATTTGTTAATTAATTTCTAAAAAGCCAATGATGTAACTTTATTTTTAACGTAAATCAATATAATAATACAAAAATTTCACAAAAATATAAATAAATAGAGGTAACAAAAATCTTTGCGCGCTTTCTTTTTATTTAATACCTTTTTAGTGTAAATCGTAGATTTGTTTATTTATTTGAAAACAATTTTCTAAATATCTGACTGTAGGATTTTAATATTTTTTTTTTAAACTTCAGATAAATATGTTCTATATGTATGATATTTTTCTGGTCATTGCTTCAATTTTTTTCCATATAAAAATTTGTTTTTACTGTTATGACTATTTCTTTATATCAAAGTGCAATTTCATTAACTATTTTGTTAATTACTATTTTTCTGACTAATATATATATATATATATATATATATATATATATATATATATATATATATATATATATATATATATATATATATATATATATATATATATATATATATATATATATATATATATATATATATATATATATATATATATATATATATATATATATATATGTATATATATATATATATATATATATATATATATATATATATATATATATATATATATATATATATATATATATATATTAAAGGCTTGAATTATGAATAACATATTTGTATTATTATATTTTAATACAAACCAATCTTATATTAACAAGTAGATAATGTAGTGTAACAAAATATATTTCTTTAATTCTTTTTTAAAGCTTATGCTGTTATGGTGTAGCAGAAATAAAAAACTGCTATGGTGTAGCAGAAATAAAAAACGAAATGTCTTTGTGTTGCTTTTTGTTTCTAATGCACTATGTATGCACTATGTGTAGAAGAAATAAAAAACATAATAATTCCCAAATTTTTTTCCATAAAATTTCACATGTTCATCTGCCTAAAACGTTTTGTTTGATTTCGTGCTCTTAATGTTTTATTCCAATTATAGCATTTGTGATCTCCCAGAAGCTTCATTTTCATCAATTGTCGTTCACAAACAAGAGTTGGTAACTTTTAAAATAATATATATATATATATATATATATATATATATATATATATATATATATATATATATATATATAAATTTTATTTAGGTGCCCCAAGAAGTCCTTACGGTCTTATCACAGAGCACCGCGGATGGGCATTTAATTGGAAGTTCACGCCTCCTTCCTAACCAATGTTGCAAGACTTGCCCAGAGGTGGGATTTGAACCACACACACACACACACATATATATATATATATATATATATATATATATATATATATATATATATATATATATATATATATATATATATATATATATATATATATACATATATATATATATATATATATATATATATATATATATATATACATACACACATACATATATGTAAAATATATATATATATGTGTGTGTGTGCATTGTATACATACACACATATTTATATAATGTGTGTGTATATATATATACATATATATATATATATATATTTATATATATATATATATATATATATATATATATATATATATATATATATATATATATATATATATATATATGTATATATATATATATATAACATATAAATGTGTGTATGCATACAATACATATTATCATTTTTTTACTTATATTTTTGTAAAATTTTTGTAAGGATATACTGATCTACATTAAAAATAAGGCTACAACATTGAGTTTTCAGAAATCAAGTAACAAATAACACGGTTGCGATATAAAATATACTCTGTAGTTAAGAACCGTAGCCATTTTAAAAGTTCAAAAGTTTTTCGCATTTTCTCACGCATACGTACCTAAACGTAGCGCTTGTAAACGACCATGCGAGCGGTAGTACGAGTGGTATGCATACACACCTTCAAATACTGCAAAAATTTACTTCAAAAAAAGGAAATAAAAAAGACACAGATGAACTAAGTAAAATTACAACTACAAGAATGAACGAACTTAAATAACTCATCAACAATTTTATCTATAAATTTTAATAATTAATTTTAAAGTACTTTATAAGATCAGTCGGTGGTTCGATTTGAGGCAGGTAACAGTAATGTTGAACAGTAGAGACAAATATGGAAAATTAATAAAACTAGTAAAACTGCCATAACTAAAACAATCATTGAGTTAATTAATAATGACTCTAACAACCATTTATCGTTATCACCCGCAAAAACCATTATCACTCACAACATTTTCATCATTTCAAGACGAAAATAGTGCGAGTGATGATCGAACAATAAAGATGAAGAAGAATTGTTGATGTAAAATAATAACACTTAAAGATGACACTTAAATCACAAAAAAAAGACATCCAAATATAATTCATTTAATGTTTTTATAAAACGAGTTAGTGCTAGAGTTAGAGTTATTTTTATTTTGTGATTTGAAGTAGTAGTGTCAACTATAAAGAATAAAATGTTTTGAATTTTAATTAATATTACATATTTCAGTGTAATTTAACTTTTAATTAATATTACATATTTCAGTGTAACTTTAGGAAATGTGCAAGATTACTGGAAATCCGGTAATTTTTTTTTACCGAGTCATAACTCGATAAAGATAATGAATAAAACCGGTAATTTTGGTATTCCTGAGGTCACAGAGGTGTGTGAGATTTGAAATTTATTATATCAATTTTAATAATAATAAATTTATACGTTAAATGCATAATAGTCTGTTATAATAGTTGCTAAAGAATTTAAAACCACGCAAGCTTATGACGTTCTTGTGTACACTCGCAACTGACGTAATTAAACAAAAAATCATAACAAAATAATTTTAGAGGTATAATCTCTTTAACAAAAGAACCTTGTAAACGCTCAAACTTAAATCAACTTGAAAAAATACTCAAAACATTATTTAATAAAGAAATTACGCAATGAAGATCAACCTCATTAGGAAATATATATATTATGTTTTGAGTGCATGAATTATATAAGTTGTTTGTCTGTTTTGTTTTTCAATTTATTTAACTTATTATGCATAAACTTATATCCTTTTACTTTTTGTGGAAGTGCAGTCAACTAACCATTGCTATGCATCCACCGTCGTAGCCATCGTTATTAGGTAAAGCTCTGAGAAAACCTCTGAAACATTGGAAAAATCCAAATATATAATTATATATTCGTATATATCTTTTTATTATCCAGTGGTCAATAAATTCTGTTGTTTTTTGGCATCAGCTTGTTTTTGCGCGTGTTCTTTATTTTCTTTCCATAACCTTAATTCTTTTTCATTTTCCGCCACAAAAATTTCAAAAGGGCTTCCTGTAATGTGCTCGTCAGACCAAAAAACATTTGCCGTATAAATTCCTCGCTCAGTTGGATTATAACGGACTGTAACAAGGCGATCATGGTCACTTTCGCGAAACATTTCAACTTTAAAAGCACCTTTTGGTCCGTGAATTCTAATTTTAAGTGTTCCGGGACCTGCTCCTTTTGAATCAACTTTAAAATTACCTTGAAAATTAGCTAAAAAATTTAAAAGTTCATCTCTTAGTTTATGTAGTTAATTTTATATAAATACTTTATAAACTATACAACTTTTCTCACCTAATATTCCAGACTCTAAACCAGGTCCTCGAGCTTTAACTTTTTTGGCGTCAGTAGCCTGCATAATTCTTACAAGAAACGGCGATCCTGTTATAGGACGATTGTCCCATTCTACTTCAACTGTATGCAAACCAGGCTCTGTTGCATTCAAGTCAACAGTGTATGTTCCGTCCTGTGTCAAAAAAAATTAAACTAATGATTAAAATGTAAATATTTTCAACATAGTGCGTAACATAGTGCATAACATAAGGGCATAACATAAGGCATAACATAAGGCATAACATAGTGAAACAATTTTTAAAAAGCAAAAATTTTACTTTATTATCAGATATAAGAACATAAGTCATTTTTCCAGATGGTGCTCGACATTTGCAACTTAGTTTTCCGTGTCCCGCTCTTCTCCCGTCAAGTGTAAAAAGAACAGGTTGCCCAGCTGTACCTTCTCTAATACCATTGCCTTTAAGAACTTAACAACAAGCAATATATATATATATATATATATATATATATATATATATATATATATATATATATATATGTAAATATATATATGTATGTATGTATTTATGTAATACTTATAATTATTTAATTTAAACTGCTTATTTGTTATTTTACAATTTCGAAAATTTCTGTTAATACCCTTTACGTTTAACTGTATAGTTACTTCATATACAAAGTTTTACGAGTATATTAGGTTTGTTCTTCGTGTATAAATATTTACAAGTATATGAAATTTGCTCTTTGTATATAAAGTTTTACGAGCATATAGTTTGACATACTTACTTGACTACTTTGGAACACAAAAATTATAAAAATTTGATACAGCAAGTTTTACGAACATCTCACCTATATCCTCTTTATAGTCGTAAGCATTTCTATTTGCCATTTTAAAACAGTCTAGAATTTTTTTTTATTATTATTATTATCATTATTTTTAGTTGATATTAAAAAAAAAAATCCAAGGAGGTAATTAACTTTTGTAAAATCGACTTTATGCTAAAGATTAGTTTAAAAACTTGCATTATAATTCCCCCCTTAAAAGATAATATAGAATATCAAATTGGATTAAATTAGAAAAAATAAGTTCGTTTAAAACCTGATCTCTTTAATAAAAAAAACAATCAAACTGATTTCAAAAGAATGATGTTGTCATAGCAACTCTAAACAAATATGTTATTATTTTTAAAACAATTTCTTTCATTAAAAAAAACAGATGATTTTAACTCGCTTTTAATGCTTTTTACATGTCGAAAAAAAAATTGTCGGGTAAAATTATTTTAAAACTAAAATTGGCGGATCAGTATTATTAAAAATATAAAAAAATATTTCACACATTTTTTTAAAAATACAATATCAGACTCAAGAAAAAGCCAAAACAAGTTTTATCTATATAGATAATAAGATGTAAACAATAAAGATGAAGAAGAATTGTTGATGTAAAAGAAGATGTAGAAAATAAATCGATGTATTTTTTTTTTTTACTTCGTCACCACTTCAAAACACAAAATGCTTTGTTCAATATATCATTGAAAAAAAGCTTCAATGAGAAATTAAAAAACTCGTATTCTGGAAAAAGACAAACATACTGGAAATATTTTAAGGAAGACATAACTTATTTACAAATCGAAAATATTCGTGACAAATATTTTAAAATTTCGCACAACCATTCGTGACTGTTTGTCCAATAAGTGTCAAATCAGAATATTTTCAAAATGATAACACTTAAAGATGACACCTAAACTACAAAAAGACATAAAAATTTAATTCATATAATATTTTTATAAAACGAGTGTTATTTAATTATATAGATAATAAGATATTGTAATATCAACCACACGGGTTTTGGCAACTGAAAATATTTCAACGATGATTCAGAATTTCAATATACTTAAGGGATTGCGCCAGCGTTTTTTTGTTTTTTAAAACTTCAGATATTTGCGCAGAATTTAAACTTATGTTTATGATTATATCAAATAAAGGTGCTTTGAAAAATTGGAGTCTGAGAACAAAAAAAACTTCAAAACCTAACCCCCCCCCAACCCCGAATTTAAGCTCAATAATTTACTGAATTCTATACAATATTACTACTTAAACTAAAACTTATATTTTCATTGATAGATTTAAAATTTCATCTAAGATTTTATTGTTATGACAATGGTAAGTTAATGACTATGCAAAGTTTACAACTCATTTGAAGGAGTTAAATAAACACATGTATAATTAAAGTTAAATAAATTGAACGTATAATATGCCCCAAATATCGTAAATACATAAAATAATTGCTAAATAATATTCTTTTATGTATTAAATAGAATTTCTTACTGAACTTTTCTTCCTCTTCTTTTTTCCTTGCTACTACATTAAACGGACTACCTGGAATGTGTTGATCGTCCCAGTAAAGATTTAAAACATATTTCCCAGAAGAAGGTGGTGTATAAGTGACCTCATAGGTTCCATTATTGTTATCTCGAATACCTACTACAATATTAGTGTTATTTTCTCCTTGAAAGGTGGCACTTAAATGACCAGGTCCAGCATATTTCGGGTTGACAGTTAAACGACTAGGTTCATCTACTATTGCTATATACAAAAAAAAAAAAAAAAAAAAAAATGTAATAATATAATAAAAATAAAATTATTTTTATCACTTACAACATCCCTACCATGAGGGACAGTATCCCTACCATGCTCAACTTGTTTTGCAATGGTCTTGTAAACAATTTTAATAAAAACTTAATAAAAATCCAATTTACAATTGTGGTAAACTTTTATTTAAAATCCAACACAACTTTTTTTTTAATATATTAATATACTTTTGAAGTAACTAAATATGGTAACTAATTATGGTTTAAAGTTCCCTTACAATTTTTCAAAACTTTTGAAATGTCTTTAAATGTTCAAGTAATGATTGATGAATTAATCATCATCACTAGTTACTAGATGATTTTCAGCAGTTTCTAAGTGATAATTATCAGTAGTTACTAGTGTTGATTAACAGTAACAAAAAAGTGATTTTATTGGTTAATAAGTAATGACTATCACTAGTTACCTTTTAATGATTGTCAGTTACCAAAATGAAGAAAATGAAAATTAATTATTATAATTAAAACTATTGAATTGTATTTTTTTTTTTAAATTCCCAAGTTTTGACACAACCAAGGAGTAGTTTTTTTAAAGAAGAATTCACCAAAAACTAAAAATTTATTTTCAACAAAAAATTATCAATAAAAGAATTTACCTTCCAGAAAGCTAGTGCTTATCGTAACTTTACTAGGATCTACCTTGGAAATTTGATTTTCTTCTTTTTCATTTAATAAATGCTCTGGTGCAATAGGATAAACTTTGAAAGTATATGGAGAGCCTGTAATTAACCTTTGACAATAAAAAATTTTGACTTCATAACTTCCTGGTATTACTGGTACAAACCTGATTTCCTTTCTGTTATAAGTTAGTTCTTTAATTGAAGAGGGAATTTCTCCAACTGGACCTATGACAGAACAACTAAGTTCCCCTAACCCAGCACCAACTCCTAATTCAATTTCCAGAGAGTGAGGTTGGTTAAGCAATAAAACATTAGAATCAGTCCCTTTAACAACAACAACTTTTTTTGGATTACAAACATTGACTTTATGTGGATTTCCATGTATAGAAACATTATTATAATAAATACAAACATTATGTTCACCAACTTCATTTGCACGAAAACTGCAAGCATATGTATTAATATCTTTCATAGAAATATTCAGTGGTATTTGAAAGCCTTCTTTTTCTATGTATCCAGTCAAATTACCAGGACCAGCTCCAAAAGTTGTAATATTAAAAAATGTTTCTTCATGAATATTAGTATACTTCAAAGGTTCTCCACAAGTTTTCACTTTCGTACAATCGCTTACCTGGTTTGTAAAATTTAGAGAAAAGTTAAATATAAAGACAAACCATAAAACGTAAAAAAAATAAAAACTTTAACAAATTGTTGAAAAAATTTCATAAAATTTTTGTAAAAACTGTGTTCTTACATAAAATTTTTAAATATACATTATAATTTAAATGTATATGTAAAAACTGTGTTCTATCATTCTTATGTAAAATATGTATTAATTTTTGCAAACTCTTGTTTTATGCTAAAAAGTCAAAAAAACTCCAAAATAAAATAACACCAATAATAAGTTAATATCATCATTCAATGATTAAAAGTCAGTAAAAACTTTTGTGTCAACCTAATGCAGATGAAAAAAAGTTTTAAGTCAACCTTTAATACCAAACTATTTTTTTTGAAATGGCTGATAATTTAATAATATTGTTGATAATTATTAAAGTTTTTTGTAACCAACACATATTAAAATGTTCAAATATCATTCTCACAAAAATAAAGAAATTTTTTTTAAGCAACAAATGCAAGGTATTATGGCAAATCCTGAGACAGTGCATGATAAAAAAGTTTTTTATCATGCACTGTCACAGATTTTTTATCAACTTTTTTTTGAAAATAAACAAACCATAACATAATAACCATAACAACCATAAACACTTGAATTAGATAGTATAAAAGTTATTCATTGTGTTAAAAAAGTTGCATTAACTTAAGTTTATTTTATTATTTGCTAAAACAATTCAGATATATGATGCAACAACAAAAAATGTTATAAAACTATTAATTAAAAATTATTGTTTTTAATCTATACATAAAGTTATACATTATTTATGCATTACAAATGTATCTATTAATTGGCATGGGCTTAATTGACCACTTTTTGCACTGGTATCAGCATCAGCTTTTTTTTTTTTTTGATTTACCAATTTTCAAACCACTTTTTTAAATTTTTGTTCTGCATTATAAAAATACTTTAAATAAACCTCTATACATGAATGAGAATATTTTAGGTAACACTTACCTTAATTTAATAAGAAAGAGCCTCATTAGAAGAACCAGCACAAACATGACAGCAGAATTCCATATAAGGATGAACAACAAATAAGAAAATAAGAAAACAATGAGCACATTAAAAAGAAGGCAAACTTTCATACAAACTTTGCAATGGTATATATGTATTCTGTGAGAAATCAGTAGTGAAAGATATAAAATAGAGGAGACTCAATTAATAAGAGTTATGCTATTCATCGATGTAAGAATATCAACAACACTACAATAGTTAATAGAAGTAAACAAATGAGGTTGTGTCAAAACTTACTAATCATTGCAAACCCCATGCTATCACAGAAAAGAGATCGCACTCATAATTAACTTTTCTAAGGGCTGAGTTAAAAGTTTCTAAACATTTGTTTTCTAAGCCTTTGTGAAGACTGAAATATATGCAGCAAATAGCTTTAGTTGCAAAATCATTAGGAAAATCATTAGTATAGATGAGGAAACACAGAATAAAGGATAGAACCTCATAGTATCTCAGAAGTTACTGAAATAGAGAGTAGTGTTGTCCATTAATGACAAAACCTTTCCTGGGTGACAGACCTTAACAAATAACTTTATTTCAAGTGCAATAGTTATTATAGGGAGCAAGTTGTTGGACTAAATATATGATATTAAAATTTTCAAAATAATCTAAATATATATCAAATTAAAATTCATTATTAAAATCTTGTTAATTTAAAAACTCAAAAACTTTGCTAATAATATTAAGAAGTAATATTAATTTATCAATATTAATTTATCAATATTAATTTATCAATATTAACTTATCAATATTAATTTATCAATATTAATTTATCAATATTAATTTATCAATATTAATTTATCAATATTAATTTATCAATGTTAATTTATCAATATTAATTTATCAATATTAATTTAATAATTTCACATTAATTGTGCAACATTTAGAGAGGTAAGCGCTTTTTGCAGAGTTTTTATAAAAATTAGAATTATACTTAATTTTATAAAAATTAGAATTATACTTTTTTTTTTTTTTTTTTAACATCTTCGCTTCCAACAAGGCTGCAAGCAACCACTAATTAGTGTTGGAAGTTACTGGAAGAGAAAAGATGAAGATTGTAGAGCAAGATAACGATTGACAGACAACTTAAAAGATTGCAAATTATATGAATCAGGAAAGCAAAATGAAGGAAGCGAATTCCAAAGAACTGATGTTCGAGAAAAAAAACTAGACAAATAAGAGTTTTTGCAGCACTTAGGAACAGTAACAGAAAAAGGATAAGACTTAATTGAATGACGAGTAACACGAGAATGAATTTTAGTAGATGGCATAAGAGACGCTAGCTCTTTAGAGCAGTGCCCATTATAGTATTTGTAGAAAAGAGAAAGAGAAGCAACATTACGACGATGTGACAGAGGTTGAAGGTTTGCTGCAAGAACAGGTCCAATTATGTTTACAATGCATTTTTGCACCTTGTCTAAAAGAGAAAGGGCATCATTAGAAGATCCGCCCCAGATATGGCAACAGTATTTCATACAAGGTCGGATTTGAGAATTATAGAGATAGAGAATAGAATCCAGAGTAAGAAAGTGTTGAGCTTGATAAAGAGATGCAACTTTAGCAGATGCTAATTTTGCAATGGATTTGATATAAGGTTTCCAAGAAAGATCAGACGTGAGAGTTAATCCTAGAAGATGAATGGTAGATGACTCATCGAGTACATTACCGTTCATAAATATAGGAAGGTCTAAATTATTGCGATAACGATTGGCTGAAAAAAATTGAGTTTTATCTGAATTAAAGTTCACCAGCCACTGTGAGCTCCATGCTGTAGCAAAAGTGAGATCCTTTTTAAGCTCAAATGCCCCCTGCAAGCAATAAGAAGGAGTTAGCTTCTTATCGTGACAAGAATAAATGGTAGTATCATCAGCGAACAATGCCACCTTAGATGTGAGAATATCTGGAAGATCGTCAATGTATATTAAAAAGAGTACAGGGCCAAGGATTGAACCTTGAGGAACCCCTGAGGTTACAGAATAAGAAGAAGAGTGTTGTCCATCAAGGACAACTTTTATACTACGATTGGAAAGAAAGGATTCAATAATCTTAAAGATGTTTCCAGATACACCATAAGAAGAAAGCTCATGGAGAAGACCAGCATGCTAAACTTTATCAAACGCTTTAGAAATGTCAAGAGCAATGGCCTTAACCTCTCCACCTTTATCTAATGCATGATAAAACCTATTGGTTATTACTACTAGCAAATCAGTCATAGAACAAGAAGATCGGAAAGTAGGTTATGAGATTCAAGGTGAGAGATTAAGTGTTTGTTAATTAAAGATTCAAAAACCTTGCTTATGATAGGAAGAAGACTAATGGGACGGCAGTTAGATGAATCGGATTGCTCTCCAGAATTTTTAAAAATAGGGATAACAGATGCTGCTTTCCAGCAGGCTGGAAAACAATACTCTGATAAGCACTTGTTAAATAGTTTTGAAAGGATAGACAACAGCTCGGGAGAACACTTCTGCAAGACTATAACAGGTATGTTGTCCGGGCCGCAAGCTGTAGAAGAATCTAAGCAGGAAATCACTTTAGATACAGAAGCTGGAGTGATATGGATGTCGAGCAATGGATCAACCTGTTTGACGGCTATATCAGGTAGAACGCAACTAGTGGAGTCAAGAGATGATATTGATAAAAAGTTCTTAGCAAGCAATTCAGCTTTGTCTTTAGGTGAGGTGACAAAGTCTGAACCATACAAAAGAGGTGGAATTACAGACTTGCCCTTATTATTGATACTATTAAAGATTCTCCAGAAGTCACGAGAACCTAACTTTTGTGATGAAATACGAGATTTCATGATCTGAGAATAGCGGGTTTTGGCGTTAGACAAAACCTTTTTACAATGGTTCCTAGCAGTAATAAACAGACGTCTATTTTCTGGAGAATTGTTTTGCTGATAGATATGGAAGTAATAGTTTCGATTGGCAATTGCAGCAGCACAATGCGAGGAAACCCATGGAGAAGAGTGAGGCTTGACCTGGAATCACTGAGAGGGAATAAAGGATTCCATGCCAGCCTGAATCCACAAAGTTATGTAAGAAGCTCATTTGTCAATAGGAAGACAAAAGATTTCTACCCAGGGGCCATCACGAAGAAAATCACGGAAAGAGTCCCAGTCAGCTTTAAGGTAGTTGTAAGATGTATGATTATAGAGGGATTTTGATGATAAAGAAGAATGAGATAATAGTTTTAGAGAGACCAAACCATGATCGGATGCACTTAAGGGTGACACACTCACCCTTAGGTGCATCCGATCATGGTTTGGTCTCTCTGGAGAAACTGAGCACTGACTAGGATTAGAAACAAGACATAAGTCGAGTAGAGAAGGTAAATGATTCGGGTTATCTGGAAAGCGAGTTGGAAAGTTGACAATTTGAGTTAGGGATTGAGAAAGGCAAAAGTTGTGGGCCTTAATGCCTGCAGAGTCACTGATACTAGAGCCAAGCCATTCAGTGTGATGAACATTGAAGTCACCGACAACAACAATATTGGCTGATGGATAAAAAGAGAGGGCTTGGTCAATAAAATCAGAAATAACATCAAGAAGAGTGCAGTCTTGAGATGAGAGAGAGCGATATAGAATAAAGAGAAAGGTGATAGAGTGAAGTGGTAAAAGAATATTCTATTAAGAAGCACATAAAAGAATAGTCTGTGGATTCAAACCTAGTCTCCCAACAAAGGGGTGAATTCTTACGAATGTAAATGCCCAGGCCAAGCATGTGACTATTGGAGTCTTTACGAATTAAAGGAAGATAACCATCAACACTAAGATCACAAGATGAGACAGCTGAACTCAAATTAGTCTCACAAAGAGCAAGTAGGTCTGGTGAACTTTGCAAGAGATAAGACTCAACAGAAGAAAAGCCCAAGCAATTGTCTCATTCCTATTAATAAAACCTAAGCCGTAACAAAGGGTTCCAATGTGGCCTTGGCAATGCACACCTGAAGTACAAACAGGGACACTATCTATGCGCAACATGGCACTGTTAGTACTTTGATATTTTTCAGCTGTTGATGGAATCAGCCTCTCTGAGAGCTACCACAGAGTTCGGAAAACCTGACTACCAGCCGGCCTCAGAACCATAAAACTGAGTTTTAGAGCTGTACCCTCATTTGGAGATAATAGAATGAGTTGCCTAGTCATAAAGAGACACAAGCAAAACCCTTGCATCGAGTCAAGAAGATCCAGCGTTCAACATCCTTAACTGGAAACAACGTATTAAAAATACATCTGTGCCAGCCTAATAGATGAAGAAGGGGTTCGAGGCTGGTCAACAGATAGAATCTGTTTACCCCTTACCTTACTTAATTTTGCACTTGTTTTCTAAAACTTTCTTCAATACTTAGAGAGTATTGAAAAAAGTTTTAAAAAACAATTTTATAAGGAATGTTCAATAGGAATGTTGCCCAGAGCTGGAGCGATTTGGATGTCTAAAAATGGATTAACCAGTTTCTATGGGATTACATAAAGAGTGTGGTGCTAGAATCAAAGAGAGAAAAAGTCAAGTTGTAACAAAGGACTCTTGTAATCTCAGCAATCCACTAACAGAGATACCTTCATAATATGGCTGCCACAAGATGGCACTCTTTTTGTTGGTACATCACTATTATAAATAAAGTTTATTATTACACATATTATAACAATTAGTAAATTCATCCCAGGGAGTTGAAAAAATTAACATTTGAATTTAACTGAAAGTTAAATAAAATTTTGCAATTGTTACCAAACTTTACTGAAAACAGTATTTCTATTTCAAATGTCAAAGCCAAAGTCAACTTCATCTTTCAGTAAACTTTGAAATCTGAATTTTAACGAATATTAGTCGATCCTTAAACCTGAGTTTCAAAAGAACTAAAATTTTATAGAAACTTGCATAAAAACAAAAAATTTTTAGACAAACTTTTTTACTTAATCAGTCATTAAACCCCCTGTTAATAATATTAATATAAATATTAATACCATTTTAATTTTTTTTTTTTTTTCTTTTTTTTGTACCGTAACTGTTTTATTTTATTTACAAATGTTATTTTCAATTCAAGTCTAAAAATGAAAACATGTTTTATCAGGGTTGTTAAAAAACATTTATATATATATATATATATATATATATATATATATATATATATATATATATATATATATATATATATATATATATATATATATATATATATATTTGTTCAAATAATTAAACAATAAAAATAACAAAAATTTTTATAACTAAATTTAAAAAAAGTTTTTTTGCAAAAATTTATTCATCAGGATAGGTGACAATACATGAAAAAATATCTAGAAAAATATTTCTCTTTAAAGAACTTTATTAGACTTACCCAAACAACAAATGGACATCCCTGAATTTTTTTTCCATTCCAATATACATTCGTATAAAATTCTCCTACAATATTTGGAGTAAATGAAACTGTATAGCTGTCATTTCCATCATTTTCAATATCTGTCTCTACTGGCTTCTTGTTAGGTCCTTTAGTTTCAGCAGTTAATGTTCCTACACCTGAAGATGAGGTGTCAACAGCTATTCCAATTCGTTCATGAAGCTCTGCGTATAGTTGTTTATCTATAAATAAAATCCTTATCAAGTTATTTCAAGAAAAATGTAAAAAAATACATTTATTTTTTATAATAAAATAAAGTTTACCCTAAATGTTTAAAAGGTCATAGCTTAAAAAGTTTCTAACTGTCATAGCTTCTGATATATTCAATATATAAACAAATACTGCATTATTGAATAGAATAAATTTTAAAAGTACTGACAAGATATATTCACTGATTTCACTTTATGTTTTCAAATAAATCTGTAACTTTTGCAAAATATTCTATATATGAAATGTTTGAAAGAACAAGATGTATACAAGGAATGTTATGCTACATGTAAATATATGTTTCAAGATGTTCACACTTGTTTCTAAATTATGTTTCAAGATATTCACAATAATTTCATGATGATGTGTCAAGATGTCCACACTTGTTTCTTAATGATGTTCAAGATTGATCAAGATAATTAAAAACATGTTTAATTTAATTATTTTGATTTTGTCTGCTTTTTTAATTTTTTATGTTTAAGTTTATGGTTTTAACTTTGTCTGGTAAATTAAATTACTTCATCATTTAACTTAACCATGGTGATTGTCTGGTGATTTTAATTTGAATAACTTCACCATTTTAACTTCACCATGGTGATTGTCTGGTGATCCGATTTTAAATTAAATAACTTTACCATTTACAAGTAAATTGGGAATACTCCAAGATCATTTGTTAAGATACTTTAAAATCACTTATATACTTTAAAATCACTTTGTGATTATATATTCTAAGATAACTTAATAAAGTAATTACTTCTAGCATACATCATTTTATTTGTTTTTTATGTAATTATAAGTGTTATCAATTATGCATCATAAGCAAGATAATTTTAAATTTGTTAAGCAAAGATCAAGAGAATTAAAATGATAAACTATTAAGTTTTAATAATTTGGAAATAACTAAATTGAAATATTAGAAATATATTTTATTTTTTTGTTGTCAGTCTATAAACTGTTCTGCTGCAGAAAGTACACCCTAATATTCATTTAATTTAAAGTAGACAGCAACACTTTAAAAACCAACTTTTATGAGGGTCAATAGTGTCACTTTAAAAAATGAAATCCAACTTTTTGATAACAATATGTGATTTAAAATTATTCAACTGCTTTATAATCACATTTATTGCAGGCAAAAAAGTATTTTCTTAATGAATTACCTCCCACAAAATGAATTACCTTACACAAAATCAATTAACTGCCATGTTATGATAATATGAAATATGGAGAATATATATAAATATATATGTTTTGTATGATACTCTATATACTTTATGTACTGTGTTATTTTGTTATAGACTAGTATAATTATAGCTCTTTTGAGCCAACATAATTAATTTGGTTATTCTTTACAATCAAAAGAGCTAAAATATTATTTTGAAATAAAAGAAAGATGGATCGATTCATGAAACCTGACAGGCTTGGTATAGATCCAAACTCAGCAGATGCAGCAAAAACATATAACCATTGGTTAAGAACATTTTACAATTTTGTAAGTACAGTTGATGATAACTTCATTAAGCTTAATCTCCTAATAAACCATATTGAACCTAATGTATATGAATTCATATCAGAGTGTGATGATTTTGAACAAGCAACAAGTATTCTCGAGTCTATCTACATAAAACCAAAAAATGAAATATTTGCCAGACACATTTTGTCAACACGGAAGCAAAAACCAAGTGAAACAATAGATCAATTCCTCAATGAACTTAAAAATTTATCTAAGGACTGTAAGTTCACTGCTGTTACAGCTGAGCAATATAAATCTGAAATGATTCGCGATGCGTTTATAAATGGCTTACTCTCCAATAGTATACGCCAACGTTTACTAGAAAACAAAATATTAGACCTTTCATTAGCCTTTGACCAAGCTAGATCTTTAGACGTGGCCCAACAAAACTCAAACTTATACTCACAATTGACTATACCTACCTCTGCCTCTATTCAGGAAATCAAATCACCTTTACAAAAACAGTCCATGACTGATAATCACTTAGCTGCTACAGCAAAATCAAAACGATTGTGCTGGTTTTGTGAAAACATAAGACATCCACGTACTAAATGTCCTGCTCGCGAAGCTATCTGTCACAAATGTAAAAAGATTGGTCATTTTGAAAAACTTTGCAGATCATCTAATGTTTCTGCTGCTATTCCTAAAATTGATGATGATTACTTCTGTGCCACCATATCAGCTTCAGCAAACTCTCTATTCAGAGTTTGTCATAACATCATTGTTAATGATAGATATAAAGCAGAAGAATTAATTGATAGTGGGAGTACAAATAGAAGTTTTATAAGCAACAAACTAGTGACTCTACTCAATTTAAATATTATTTATGAACAGAGTGTAATTGGAATGGCATCAGCTGCCTTATCTGCAAAATCAGATGGATATTGTTATGTCTCAATAACTCTTCAAAACAAAATCTATAACAAAGTCAAGTTGCATGTGCTGGATAACTTATGTGTAGATGTTATTCTTGACACAGATTTTCAAGAGTTGCATGAAAGTATTACCATTAAGTATGGTGGGAAAAGACCACCCATAACATTTGCTGCTTTAACAACAATGAAAACTGAACCTCCTGAATTATTTGCTAATCTCACGCAAGATTGTCGACCGATTGCCACTAGATCTAGAAATTATTCTCAAAGAGATAAAGAATTTATTAAATCCGAAATCCATCGCCTGACTCAAGCAGCAATAATAGAGCCTAGTAATTCACCTTGGCGTGCCAAGGTCTTAGTAGTAAATGAAAAGACTAAACATCGCATGGTTGTTGATTACTCTGAAACTATTAATAAGTATACTCAATTAGATGCATATCCTCTACCTAAGATTGAAACGATTGTGAATATAATTTCTAAATACAAAATTTATAGTACTCTCGACCTTCGCTCAGCATACTACCAAATCCCTTTATCAAAAAAAGATTGACCATATACTGCTTTTGAAGCTGACAATAACTTGTGGCAATATACTAGAATGCCTTTTGGAGTTACCAATGGATCTGCATGCTTTCAACGCAAAATAGATGACTTTGTTAGAAAATATAAACTAACTGACTGCTTTCCTTTCATTGATAACATTACAATATGCGGTAATAGTCAGAAAGAACATGATGAAAATCTACTTAAGTTCAGATTAGCTGCCATTGATGCTGGAATTACATTTAATGAAGAGAAGTGTGTATTTTCAACTAAGACTTTAGATTTTTTAGGTTACCATATATCGTATGGCTCTTTAAAACCAGATCCTCAGAGACTTGCTCCTCTCATTAAGTTACCCCCACCTGATAATGCAAACTTTACAGCGGATTATTGGAATGTTTTCGTACTATGCAAAATGGATAAGAAAGTTTTCAGATAAAATTAGACCTTTAAACTCTGTTACTCAATTTCCACTCAATCAGCAGCAAATATCAGCATTTGAAACATTAAAAAATGAGCTTGTTCAATCTTCCATGCAAACCATTGATGAGAATATACCTTTTACTGTGGAGACTGATGCTTCTGATTTTGCCATATCCGCCACACTTAATCAGGATGGAATCAAGAAACCTCCCTTATTCAGTAGAAGATGTAAAACAAATATGTAGGGATTGTAGAATATGTAAAGAAATAAAACCCAAGTACTACCGCCCAAATGATGTGCACCTGATTAAGGCGACTCAGCCATTCGAATGTATATCTATTGACTTCAAAGGCCCATTACCTTTTTCAACCCATGAACAGTATATGCTAACAATTGTAGACAAATACTCACGTTTTCCATTTGCTTATCCTGTGAAAGATATGACAACTCAGACAATAATAAACTGTTTAGCTGATTTTTTTTCCATGTTTGGTATGCCTAGCTATGTTCATTCGGATCGTGAATCCTCATTAATGTCTTCTGAATTAAAGCACTGGTTTTTATCAAAAGGGATCGCAACTAGTAGAACAACCCCTTACAATCCGACTGGAAATGGGCAAGTTGAAAGATACAATGGAATTATTTGGAAGGCGATATTACTTACTCTGAAATCTCGAAATCTGCCTGTATCATCATGGAAAAGAGTTTTACCTGATGCACTTCATGCTACAAGATCTCTATTATGTACTTCTACTAATTGTAGTCCACATGAACGTTTTTTTAATTTTCAAAGAAGATCATCATCTGGGTCTTCAATTCCTTCATGGCTTGTTAACCCTGGACCTGTACTTATAAAAAGAAATGCAATGCAAAGTAAATATGAAGATTCAGTAAATGAGGCTCAGCTCATTGAAGCAAATCCTCATTATGCCATTGTGAGATTTCCTAATGGTCATGAGACTACAGTGTCTACAAAACAACTGGCTCCTATCGGAACAACTCCTATAGTACAAACATCAAATGACAATTTAGAAATAACAGCTATTGATAACTACCCCTTAACCCCTAATGGTAGCAATGAAACTCAGTTAGTCTCCGAAGGGGAACTAGAAAGCAGAGTGAATCTTATAGAGCAAAGTACTCTGCCTCCTCGTAGATCTTCACGAATTTCTAAAGCACCAGAAAAACTCAACTTATAAATACACCTGAACACTTTTAAGAGGAGGGTGAATGTTATGATAATATGAAATATGGAGAATATATATAAATATATATGTTTTGTATGATACTCTGTATACTTTATGTATTGTGTTATTTTGTTATAGACTAGTATAATTATAGCTCTTTTGAGCCAACATAATTAATTTGGTTATTCTTTACAAAAAAATTACCTCCCACAAAAACTTGGCTAAAATTGAGTTGTTAGCAATATTATTTGTTATATATTAGTGTGGTTTTAGGTTGTTTGTTATATATTAGTGTGGTTTTAGGTTATTTGTTATATATTAGTGTGATTTTAGGTCGTTTGTTATATATTAGTGTGGTTTTAGGTTGTTTAGATATCTTTTAACTAAGTTCACATGCAAAAACTTTAATTAAATACAATTAACAAATTCAACT